GCTACGGCAGAAGCGGTAGGCATTCGTCTGCACAACCCCCAAAAACAATTTGTGCAAGCGCTAAAGCTTCCCTGGCCCACCCCCCATACAACATCGTGGGTAATCTCGATGGTCGGATCTTATCCTTCGCCCTCTGGGTGTCACCATTGCCCACAAACCTGCAACAACGCTACGGTCAATCCTGTATCTTTTTTCATTCACTGCACAGTAAATAAGCAAATTAATTAAAATATTCTAACTTAATTAAATTGATAAATTACTTGGCTACAAACTACGCATGCATTATATACCATACTGAAAGAACTAAAAACATAGTCCAGGAAACACAAGTTGATCTTCAAAAGTGGACCTTGAGGTTCGTTGAATAAGCCTCTTGTTGTGTCACCATACCCAAACCGGATGAAACATTCAAACGTTTTTGGCATATAATTGAAGCCTAGAGGCAACTTAATCGGGAGGCGCACAAATCCGATGATTCAGTTGATGTCTTCTGGAAGTGCTTCGATGTGAACATAAGTTCAATTTATAATACATTCAACGAAATTTCTCCACCAAGGTATAAACCGAGAAAGAAAAACCGATCATATCAAAGCCAGACGATGGTTTTATTCGATCGCAGCGGAGAAGAGTTACACAAAACCAATAGGTTTTATTGAATATACAAAGATATGATTTTCAGGAAGGGGAGAGAGGCCAATCAAAGGGATGCCATTCGACAAACAATCGGGGAAAGTCAGGCAAAGGTGGTGGTATTCGAACACACTCCGGGGTGATAATTTGGTGACGTCACCACAGGGCCACTACCACCCGACGAAAACAGAGATGATTGGCCTACGAAAAAAATGTGGGTGTTCTAGAACTTGACGAAGAGTGAAGACGTGGTCGATACAACCTCGACCAAGTCTAAAACCAGCCCAATGCTCACGCGCGCACACTTCTTATGCGGCAGACGACTGACGGAGTATGGCCCAAGCGAAAAGTTTAGAGGCAACGTTGATTAAACTGTGGTTTTTACAAGAGGATCTGTAAGCTTTCTTGTAGATCGGTAGGACGACGGATTCACGCCATTCATTTGGAACTTGTTCCCTCTCCCATATTGAGAACAGGTGTTTCGTCAACTCCAAGACCAACGCTGAACCTTCATACTTAAAAGCCGATGGCAGCAAAAAATCTGGGGTGGAGGGCTTGTATCTTTTGAGATAACGTATTTCCCTGGAAAAATACAATTGCGATGGAGGACTGGCATCAACTGGGAGTATTTGCTCAGTTGAACCAGGTATAGAGAGGTCATGTGTCGACGAGGGGACAGCCGAGTTGTGCCTAAAAATGGTTTATCCAACTTTCAGGGGGGCGTTGCTGAATATGAATTGGTGTGCCGCCCAACTCCTTAATTAAGTCACTTACGCCTACTACCCTTGGACCCGTACTCCCAATTAAATGACAAAGATTGCAACTATTACCGATCGCCGCCGCCTTCTCCACCTGTCTACACTTCCCCACCCACCACTACTCGCAGTCGTTCATCAGACTCTTGATGAGCTGGCGTTAAAAGAATTCGCGCGTTTTGTCGTATTTTGCATCAGAAGGAATGGCTTTGTGAGCATACAGTAAGGCAACCGAGGTCGGGGAGATTCATCGTTTTTGCTTTGATCGTGCGCTAGAATTTGCCGTTGTTTTGATTGAAATTTGGCAGCTCGTTGACCGATCTGGTAGAGTGTGCGGACATTGAGTGCAGCTAAGTGAAAAGGAGATTTTGGTTTCAAAAATCAGATAGCTTCTGAGTGGTTGAGCTCATTATTTGAACTCGGAGTGATATCCGATGGGTGGCGCAAACAGGACGCACCTCCCAGATTTGGGAATGAGAAGAAGAAGTGGATAGATAAAAAAGGTTTTTCAAATGAGTACCTAAGACTTCGGGGCACAACATACTTCT